GACAGACACACATATTGTGGTCAACCCTCACGTCTGTTGTTGACGACAGAGAGAGAGAGAGAGAGGGAGTGATGGGAGGGTGGGGACAGCTCATATTTAGATATCTATTTATATTTGGCAACTCGGAAACGCATAATGAGTCGCTTTTCCCATAAAACTACGACAGCTACAGAGTTGAAAGTTGGCAAGTACCTGCAAAAAGATAGATAGGTCCCGATGACGGAGCCCGATTTTTGATATATTTATTTCCTGAATTCAGAAAAATATATTTGACAAAAAGTTCCCATCTTTCTTTGGCCTTTGTGATTATTCTACTGAAAAACGAAACAAATGTGAATAGCTCTCCTTCACAACGGAAGTTCATTACTGCCCTTTAACGTTCGCCTAAGAAACACGATTCAAGAGGCAGGGTGAGTAATTTTCGCGACTCACCTTTAGTACGTGGAGACGTGATCCTGTGTACGCATCCGAAGAGTTGTTTTTGATATAGGGCCCAAAGAGAAAAACTTTTTTATTACTGGGTCAAGATTTTTGGAGAAAAAAATTGTTTGGTCGGTAGCCTGTAGAGGTGCCATGCAAAGTTTCGTTGGCATAGGTAAATTTGTAAATGAGTTAGAATTTTTTTTAACACTGTCAGAGGAAAGGGAACAAGCTATAGACACTGCCTCAGTGATTTTGAAGACGTCGGTGTGTTCCTTTTACAGTGAAGCAGCCCTTTCGTGGATTATTATTTTCTGAGTGCTTTTTTGTGATGGTGTAAAGCGAAACCTGTATTTTGTGATTGTGAATGGGTAGACAGCAATACACTAAAGCAATGTAGATCAAGCGAAGAGTTAATCAAGGCAGACCTAATCTAAAGCAATATAGATCTAGAAGCCAGGTGTGACTGTGAAAGACAGCAATGTAGATGTAAAAAAGCCTCCGCGGCGTAGACCAGTAGGAGCAGTGACGCCACGGCGTCGACCCCGAGCAAAGCCGGGGACTCAGCTAGTAAATAAATAAATAA